GCCGGTACCGGCAGCGAACCGCGAGGCTAAAGGCTCGTACATTTTGGAGTTCCCAGCCTGTGCCACGGAAAGCCATTGAGCATGAGGGTAAGAGCGGCTCCATGGCGTAATGGATAGCGTACTCGTCCGGTCAGCGGGAGATGCGGGTTCTATCCCGCCTAGGGTCTGAATTTTGCCCATAACTCAGCATTCTTGTGATAACAAGTGAGTGAAGGATCTCTGGTTGAGCAGTGAGCAAGGCATTTAGTGTTGATAAACATTAGACGCTTATATTCGAGCTGGTCAGAGCTGAGCTATTTTCTGAAAAACCGCTTACCGAAGCGTCATTTTGTGGGTGTGGATTACCGTCATCACATAATCTAACAGCTTCAGTTTCTATTTGTGGACATTCTATTCGGAGAAGGCTTTGGAGCTATTTACCGCAACGCAGGGTTTTTCAATATAACGAAGATCGAGGTCCAATAATCTGGCATTACTCTCGGTAAGTTACTGCGGAGGTTAATTCACTTGGGAACGGCTCAGATGCTATAACATTTTGCAGCGGAATTTCCTTGCTGAGAGCTAGAGGAGCGCGAGAGAAGTTGAAAAAAATATTCTCCAGGTTTTTGGAAGATACTGTGCTCACACAATGGGATCCTCATTCCCTATCATATGCGAGGTGATCGGATCCGCAAATGTAAAAATATGCCGCTTTTGTTGCTCGAAAGTGCGCCGGAATTGAGGTGTGGGGTGTAGTGATAGTCAGGTGCCTTTTTGGCACGCGGACACGCAACGCGCCGCACGACCAGGCACACGCCAGACAATAGTCAAACGCGCTACTTGTCTGCTCCCTCTCACGTTTGATGCTCTCTACACTTGGGCAGCTATAGGCAGCTTGCCATTGGTGTTATTCGCTGCGGGACCTCGGTATCGGCATACATGCTGCACGTTGGGGATAGCGGGTGGAGGCCAAAGAGGCATCCAGCTATTATTCCCTCAGGCGGTTCATAGGCACGTGCTCTTTCGCCGCGATGAAGGTGGCGCAAACCTCTACACCTGTGTGCTGCTTACCTCTCACACTGGCAAGAACTACCTCGCAGATAAAACGTACCAGCGTATTCAAAACATTAAAATTACTAGCATAAGGCATTCCTATGAATAAGTTCCGGTATAAGAATATGGATGACTAATTGACCCAAGCCGTTTTGTTTGGAAAAAGTAAGAAAAAGTAAGGTGATTCAACGGCCCATTCCGCGGCCATCCATCACGGAGACTTCCAATCATTATGCTTTTCTCACTGGTAAGGGCTTTTCTGGTGCTGTGATTTGGCTCAGAAATAAGAAAGGGCCTTAGCGGTAAGTTTTTGTTCCGCGATATTCCAGCTGTCGCGGAGATTTATAGCCGAAAGCGCGTTGACCCATAGAGATGGTTTCCAAAACGTAGCTGGACTCCAGCAGGAGTCGTTTTAGGTCACGTTCATACTCCGCGACTTGAGCGATGCAGTCGCGCGATTGTGGCTGACCGCGCTCCACCACTAATCGTTCGGTCACTGCAAAAGTCGAAGGAAGTTTCATTCTAAGTGTGATTGAAGTAACAGTTGCAGTGGTCCAACACTGAACTGTGGACTGTGGTTACTCCAGCCGTTGCCTGCCAATCAAGCCGTGCTTTTACTCCAGTCGTGCGAGTGAATCGCTCTAGTCGCGAAGTATGAACATAGCTTTAGTCTTCCCATTTCCCACTTTTTTTTCTTCGTATTGAAAAAAGTTCTGAGGAATAAGTCCATGAAACTCGCCTCGTTCTTTACGTATCGATTCCATTTGATCTTTGAAGTGTTCGCTGGCCATATCGATAAGTGATATGATCTTGGTGGCAGCAGTCGATGATGGATCTGATGATGATGACGACGAGTTGTTTGAATTCGATCCACCTCGTTCTGATTGGTTTGGGGAGACCTGAAGGAAATATCGATTGATTCGCTGGCAATCCACCAAATGGATCAATTTTTGATCGGGCAGCTTACATCGCTTTCTTTTCGCATGTTCTCCACTGAATCGCTGTCGCTGGTCTCAGAATTTGAATTCGATTTTGACAAATTCAATGGTGCACCTTCAACATCGGCTTCGCCTGTTATTGCCATAGACGATGGAGTGCTAAAAATCGATTATCGATTGAAAGTCGAGTAGCCTATGGGATTAAAACACTGCAGTTAGTGTGTTATCCAAATCGAGGCTAACCGTCCGTTTCGTAAGAGGCAGGGGGGGGGGATGATGTCGTGAGAAAAGTTTCTTCTGACTGTTGAGTTTTCCCGTTTCACCACGCTATACCCTAGTTATCAGCGCCGCAAAACTATTATTTCTGATAGTTCATCCAAAGTGTCCCCCTCCCTCCCCCCTTTCGCTGGATGCCAGAAATCTGAAAACAGTTGGGGGAAAATGGTATACAGGAGGGGGAAGAGGGGGTCGTGCCATAGGAACAAATTTGGCAGATTTGGCGGCGGGAGGCGGACTTCGCGCTCTGCAAAAATTTCCCACCTGATGGTGTGCTCCTGTCGTAACTGCTTTCAATGATAGTACAGCCTGTTCGCTGCGAATGAAGGCATCTTAAAAGGGCTAGGGGCGCGGCGCCCTTCAGTTATTGGTTAAAAATGGCATGCGCCGCGCTAATCCCGCAAATCTGACACGCCCCGGCATCCGCAGAGAACAAGACCGCCTTATGACCTGGAAATCCCCAGTTCATGCCCTTATGTGGGATATATGTATCCTTACATGGGAAGTAATGGGCACGTAATGACTTTGATACTTGTAAAAACCTACTACATGTCTGGCTGCTTTTGTGCTGCCGCTAGAACCATCATATGTTGTACGAGAAGTTGTTGTGCACTGAACTGTGGTAGAAGCTGTCCAAGAAAAAGTGGATTCAATTGCGTTGTGCACGGCGCAACACCGAAATCACTATCGTTCCCACACTGAGATTGTTGATCTGAAAATAACGCACGTTTAGACGCTGTGGAGTCCTATGGACGGCTAGCGGTCAGGAGAATCTGAGTTACGGGAGGAACGACCGCTGTGCTAGTCGACACCTCAACCAAATCGATAAGAGTTACACGTAAATCGACTCATTTATGACGATTTCTCGCGCACAGGCCGATCTCTTGCGCATGTACCTAAGTTCCGGATCTCCTGCCCACCTTCCCGTAGAAACGCTATTTCATGCTAGAGTATTAACAAACCTTCAAATTTCTCACGTTTCGCTGCCCATTCTTCAACTGCGGAGGTACGTTTTGGCGGGCGACCAGGGCGAGTGCTAAATACCATCGAGAATCAATAGCGATCGATAATTACAAGTAGAAAAAAGTGCTCATACCAACCATGTATTCGTGCAGTCGTCATAGAGGCGATCAAAATTCAGTGACTGCCTATCATTTGCAACGATTCACACCCGGTTGGATGGCGTTCTTACTGCGTAGGGCGCGTACCTATAATCAATAAATCGATAATTGATTGAATGCTCGCAAGGTGGCAGTATTGGTTTTGAAGGGCTTGAATGCTTTTTTTCAGTGGAGCCTTTGAGCATCTAGACTTGCAGCGGTCTCGTCTGCGATGTCATGGTTAAGGACTCAGTCGCGGGGTGTTGTCGCCACGCATCGCCTTGCGACTAATTGTCGCTCAGTGTCGCCAGGAGAACCAAGGCTCTCAGGAGGAGGACAGGTGTGAATTTGACTTATTTCATTCGAGTCATCGTTTGGTTTGTCAAACAGCGATGTTGAGATATCATACACTTTAGCGAATAATGGGTGACGATTTTAAGTTTCGCGTTGACCGCGCCGCAGCACACTTGGCATCTAATGCCCTTACCCCCTTTATGCGCCTCCGTATCGGCCCACAACAAAGCTAGTTTCAGAAGATACTTGTACCCTGAGTCAACGTATCTGCACTATGACTGGTGTTATTTTCCATCTTCTTGAGTTTTCGGTATAACTGTATATGTGAAGCGCAACCATGTTCTTGAGAAAGAGCTCGTAGACCTTTAATAGAAGTATTTATTTCTATAGAGTTCATTTTGTACCATATATGGGGTCCCAACTGAGCAGAGTACTTGGGATGGCCACGACCGATGGGTGATGTCTGCCCCTTCTTGCCGAACAGGGGAAAACCAACGTATACCCCCCCCCCCAGGAGCCCATTTTGAGACTTTTTCGGAAAGCAGCGCTCTCAAACATGTTAAAGAAGCACATGACCTGTCATGCTACCAGTCGGCCACTCCGCGGACACTACTTGCCCACCAGTTATACATATACTGCTGGTAAGCATCAGGCACTATCAAGTCGCCACGTAGATCGAACGACAACGGTTTGTCCGGGTAGTTGATTCTTTCGTATACGCAGGCTCATTGGAATCAAATGGGCATGCAGAATTCCTGTGGATTTATTGAAGATTGACCTGTAAAAGCTTTATTTCAAATTTCCGTTTTCCAATGGACGCTCTCGAAGTTGTTGAAATTCCCATACCAAAGCTTCGACCACTCTGGTCCTTTGGTCTGTTTTGAGAGCCTTATCTACTAACTCCGTTTTCATCGGATACACAGATTGCTGGCCTGCCTCTTTTTAAGACAAGCCATGCATTTTACATCTACCTGAGTACCGCAGTGGCGTTTGAAAGCATTTTCCGTGCTGATCGTACAGGCAGTGACAATGGACTAGCTGGCCTACCCCTCTTCTTCACCGCCTTATGCAGCGTTCAGACTTCGCGATGGCAACGATTCGATTGCGCATAGGAGCAGTCGCGCTATTGAAACACTCGCGCTTCAATACTAATACAGTCTTGCTCTCTGCGGATGCTTAGGTGTGGCAGGAAGGTTGCATCTGGCGCGAAGCAAAGTAGTTCTTCACATGTTGAAGCGGAGCAGGCAACAACAAATTTTAGGGAACGAGTTGGACGCTTTGCATTATAATTGAAGGTTGAACCACCAAAGTTTGATAAACTTCGGAATGCTGAGTCAGAGTGCTGGGAGAGGGACTGTCTGGACGACCCCCCCTCCCCCCCCGCGACAGCAAAATTTTGGGGAAAAACCAGAAGTTTTTCGGGAAATTCCGGAAAAACTGGTAGGAGATTAGGGGAAATTCTGAGATGTGGGGGAACGTATTTTTCATGAAATGATCACAACGCGATGACACGCCATGTCCCTCCCCCCTCTCCCTCCCGCCCACTCAAGGTTTTCCAACTCCTACCACTGAATTTTTTTATTTTTCTAGAGTTTTCCCTGTGCTGAATAGTACTCATACATCTGATTAAGACCCAGTATTTACTCACAGAGAATTCAAGAGGTCGCTGTGTTTTCTGCAGTGTGATGCCTAGACTCAAATTTGCCTCGGTTATTGCGAAAGGAGAATCTTTAGAGGAAACATGGACAGTCTTCCATGGAGTGGCATTCTCTACTTTTTTCCTGGGTGGGACCTACTTGAGTAAAATGCCTTTCTTTGGTTAAAAATAGTGAAGTTACATTAGCACGATAAAAATCGCCAATGATGTAACTGAGCTGAAAAGGCACAAAAAAGGAAACGATGAGAGGAAAAAATGACCAGGATGGTCGAAACTATACTGACCAACTACACAGGTATTCCGCGCGGGGCCCACCGTGCCGATCGTTTCTGTTGGTATGCGGGTCCTGCGCGGAAGTTCATCGCTCACCATCGCTGTACATGCCGTAGTCGTCCATCGTGTGCTAATGAATTGGATAACCAATCGTATGGTCCTCCTACTGCTTCCTTATCCATATCAACCCATATTAAATCGTAATCATCTGCGAAATCAGCAATCGCAGGGATTCAAGGGATAACGGCAAGGCGTTTCTAGACGTTTCGAATGACGCACGACATGTGGGGAGAACGAGTCCAAGCCGCATCTACTGTAAGTTATCGCCTTTTCCTTGTTAAGCTGACACTATTTCTGCCCACGATCACGAGGCTCCTAGCAGTTCTCTAATCCACTTGCGGAATGCTGATGTACATTCGGATTCAAAGGGGAAGGTCTAGGAAACGGCAAAAAAAGATTCGAGTAGTCTCAAAGTTGGACGAGCCCTGTGGTTTTGGAAGTAGCGGCGATGAGCGGCTGTGCGACAGTAATGGTCAGCAAAGGCAGACTATACTGCCTCATAAAAGATACCGCTTCAGAATAAGCTGCACCCTTTGGGAAATCAAGCACTGTCATCAGGGTACAGCATTGTGATGTTTGAAATGGTGGTGTCAGTACGACCCCACCCCTCAAGGAGAGTCTTAGTACGATATCCCCTCCCCTCCCTTCTGCAACACCTACCTACCAATTTCCTACCTACAATTTCCTACCAGTTTTTCCGAAATTTTTCACATTTTCAAGTTTTCACCCAAGGATTTCCCGTTGAGCGGGAGGAGGTCGTCAGTGAACAAGCACTATTTTCAAGTATCGGAAATAGTTGTTGTATATTTGGCAGCGCCACCAAGTGGGAGGGGGGAGTAGTCCATATTCTTGAAAATATAATGCAGTAATAGCAGTAATAGCTGTTATTCCATGTTGTGGCGAACAAGGCATTGGAATGGGCGTTGCGTGCGCGGCATTGAAACCAAGTTTCAACATGGTAGTAAAGTGTGTAACAGCTGGCTACATGGAATTTGCTACCTGGTACTTATGAACCAGATCCGTAGGTAGTTTTGAAGTAGATTGAACGGGCCTATGTAACTGGTAGCCTGTGTGAAATAGTTGCATTCTTTCCTTACTAGGTGGGACTGAATGAGGTGCCAGTCTGCCGTAAGCCAATGGGTCGCACTGTTCACGCTTTTTATGGCGAACCATATTTTTTATGGTGTACTGCTGTCGACCTCGCGTTAGAGTGCTCATAGAGGAGGTCACTCTACTCAAACGCACAAACCAGCCGCTATTGGTAGAAAACGCAGCCACGGGTGTTTCATTACACGCCCCTTAATATCGCAATCCAGTGGAGGGAAAGCTGCAAGAAGGGTGATGCGAAGGGTCCCCATCTGTCTCTCAAGATACGGCAAAGGTCCACTTCCATGTGCTCTTGATGGCGACTTATGCGATGAAAAGCGATCTCCTCGGCTGAATGAAGAAGATGGAAGGTGTCTCCTGGATA